ATCTTCCTTTCTGTTTTAATGCCTGCTCTTGTCAATGCCAAATTCTATATTTTCTATATTACATTTTTAGTATACAGAAATTTGAGTGGCAGATAATTAACGTATACAAGGCAGATTTACCCTGCATTTTCTCCTTTACGGAGATCATTTTTCAGTTGTCTTTTCAGCAATATCTATAGGGATCCTAAGAGGAGGACCCCAGGAAGGACATATGTGCTTAAACTGAAAGTATAGGTACATGACACTATCTATAGAGACACGATGCTTTTACATCCATAGTTCCACTGTACTTGCTCATCGATAAGTCTAACGTGCTCCCTGCAAGGAGACGGCCTTTGCTTGGTATGACAACATGCATCTGAAACAGAACAAATACAAAGTCGGCGGTTGAGGGGTTAATCTAGAACCATGTAACATACATTCATGTAAACGATACCTAATTCTGCTTTTTAACAATGTGTGATATCTTAACTTCTGTCTTTAAAATCTTAAATTCTGTCTTTTGTTTGTTTGTTTGAAGGATTTCTATTAAGATCACATTCCACTTCATTATAAAGTATAAAGTTAGCCTTTCAGGAGAAATAGCTGCTAGCAAGCTGATCCTTTATTAGTCATAATATTTAATATAAATATTAAATGTTTAATATTATTGTTATTGGTTTTTAGTTATTTTTAATTAATTTATCCTGGCATCATTTTAGTGGGGACTATTTTGGTGTTGTTTTAGTTTGTTGGGTTTCTTTTGTTTTGCTTATTTTGACAGATTATTTTTGAATTCCAAGAATTCTGGGAAAATATGGGAAAATGCTGTTTGGAGAATGGTAGTCTTGCCACTTGATCTATCTCTGTGGCAAAGAAAATCCACTTGAGTACCAGGACTCTAGTTGTAGTGGTGTAAGTGTAGTTAAAAGGTAGCCCATTACTCATTTCTTTGTCCTAAAGTATTAATAGAGGTGTTAATGAACTATGTATGCACTTCTTTAAATAGTGTTTCAGTTGTATATTAATGTTTTCTTGCAGTACATAAGCAAATGAGAGTTACAGTTTAATAATATATGCTCTTCCTTGTAGAGTAAGCTAAGAAATGGGTGCATAAAACCCAGAAAATACTAGCTGAACTGACCCCCGTAAAAAAGGAAACAGTTTTGAATTACTGATTTGTCCCCTTTTACTCCCGTTGGCTATTGAATTTCTTGCCACCGCTCCTTGTGCAGGCAGTGCTGTGCGTGGCTGCATGTTGGTACAGATGAGGGAACTGAAATAACTGACAATTTATGTCTTCAGGTTTCCACTGCCATGAATTTCTTTCTCTGTTGTTGTTACCTCTGCTGAACTTTATAGATATGACAAGTTTAATAAATTGTGTGTGTGTGATCTTTCAGATTTTTAGCATGAGTTTTAGAAGATTTTACAAATCAAGTAACTGCTAAAGTAAATAATAGAAACCTGCTCATATGTACCATTGGTTTGCATGTTTTCTGCCAATGGACACTGTTATTTTCCTAATGACTGAATCATTCATGTTGCAAGTTTATAAAAATGCATGGTTGTAAATGACAAATACTATTTTTCTTATTTTAATCTCAGGCACACAAATGCATCCTGAATGACAGAAGTCAATCCATACATGTTTTCTCTGTCATTTTGTTGGAAAACTATCTTAAGCTGGAACAGCTTTTATTAAAATTGCATCAGTTTAACACACAAAATCTCTTAATTGAATTAACGCTTTAGTTAATGGTTGCTTGATTTTATTCTGATCTTTGAATATGGCAGTGGCAGAGCCTCTGTCAGTTTTCAGCTTACTTTGATTTCTTTTTAGATAGGAGTGTCATCGTAAGTCATTTAGAAGATGAAATTAATAACAGACTCCCTGACAGTACTTCCTTCTGTAGTAATGACATGTTCTAATTGCTTATAATGTAGCAATTCTTGATGATATGGGACTATGGGCAGAAAGCAGACTCTTCAGAAAAAAAAATGTTCAGCTTTAGAGAATTCCCTGTAAAGTCTTCAGGGGAATAAAATCCCTTTCTCTGCAGTTTGACATTTAGATTGACATATTGTAGCTTCGTTTCTAGATGTGCCGCTCAGAAATACCCTCAAAGTTATAGAAGGTTAGCTTGTAAAGTAGTTGAGCTCTTAAAACCTATTAAAAATTGAATTTGCTGGTACTCCAAAGATGTTAATCTCTTCTTATATCACAATCCATCATGGAAAAAAGATGAGAAACTTGGATCTTTTTTAAATTTGGCAGTGCATTCAGTATATACTACCAGCAGATAATAACTCCATTTCTTGTGGCTGCTTACATTACTTTTTAAAGGATCTTGTTAATTACTTGAAACTTTGCCAAGGTGTAACAGGTTGGGCTGGAATTTTCCACTTAAGGAAAAGGACAATATGGATTCCTCATTTCCCGTATGCTAAATGAAGCGGAGGCCTGTGGGAAAAATAGTATGCAATCAAATAATTAAACATTCTGCCATAAAGCATACAGCTAGGGAGAGGAGTTGAGGAGAGCATATAGCTTGACTTCTGGCTTCTTCTGTCCTTTCAACACTTGACTTCAGGACTTTGTTTCCTGCATAACAAGGTATAAAGTTACGTCACTTATTTGTGAGTGCTGACATAGTGAAAAAAATGCATGTCATGTTGATATCCCTGAATTTGATCAGGGGTTTTTGGAGGGTGTTTATGTTCTTTTGGGGTTTCTTTCCTGTTTGGATTTTTTTTTTTTTTTAAGTTTGGCCTGGATTTTTTGGGAATTGTTCTTTTAGTTTGGCCCTAACCAGCAGCAGAATGACTTGAGTACTTCTGGGACTGAAACATCATTTGCCTCTGTGTATGTAATCAGATATCCAAAACCAATGCATGAGTACAGAATACTCTCTAAATCCTTGAATTAGAAATCCTGGTCTGCTAGATCTACAGGCTTGCACCCCTTTTTGGAAAAACTATTTGCTCATAAAAATCATGTTGCCTTCCCTTAGCTTTGGCTCAATGGAACTTCTGACTACATCACGCACATTTTATCTGTGGGCTGTGGTTTGCTCATTTTGCATGCACTGCACCCTAACTCCTGAAACTCAACTCGTGTGCCACATTTTGCCGGGATCCCGATCCTCTGGTGACAAAGACAGGGGAAAAAAAAATAATCTAACTGGGTCTTGTCCAATTTTCTTTCATCAACAAAATCCTCCATAGCCTCTGTAAATAAAGTAAGAGTTCCTTGTATTTTACTACTTAGAGCATGTAGGTGGCACCTTTTTCTCTGAGTTTTGGGGATGTGATAGTTGGCTTCGAGCTTGAGTAAAAAACCTTGGTCTTTCTCTCTCTCCCTCATGCCCTCACAGCTATTAATTTCTATGTAATGCAGAAGTGGGGGCAGTGACTCACCTGGAGATAGCCTTAGCCGACCTCTACTTGGGTCAGCTGTAGTCCTGTCTTCACCCTCCCGTGGTGGCACTGGATAAACTGTGACTTCATAATTTTGGGAAGATACTTAGCTATTTATTTGAATGAATCAGCTGGTGAAATGGTAAATCCTGACTCTCCTCTAGGCATTTTTCAGTCTGTCATTGGCTTGAGCAAGGGCACATTTATATCTAAAGCCCTTGTGAAAGAACTGTGTAAATGCAGCGTATTAATCTGAAAGCTGCTGTTCTTCACCTTTACATACTTGTTTGATACTGCTTATTTTCAACCTTTGAGAGATTTGGTTGGTTGCTTCTTGGAGAAAGAGACTGTCTTTCTCTGTATGCTAAATCCTTTCTCAGAAATTTCAAGACTACAACTGTCTGTACCACAATATCTGTACCACTATCTGTACCACAATATGTCCAGAGAAGAGCGACAAAGCTGGTAAAGGGCCTGGAGAAAAAGCCTTATGAGGAGCGGCTGAGGGAGCTGGGGTTGTTTAGTCTGGAGAAAAGGAAGATGAGGGGAGACCTTATCACCCTCTACAACTACCTGAAAGGAGGGTGTAGTCAGGTGGGTGGGTTGGTCTCTTCTCCCCGGTAACTAGCAATAGGACAAGAGGAAATGGTCTCAAGTTGCGCCAGGGGAGGTTCAGGCTGGACATTAGAAAGAACTTCTTCACTGTTAGAGTTGTTAAGCATTGGAACGGGCTCCCCAGGGAGGTGGTGGAGTCACCGTCCCTGGAGGTGTTCAAAAAACGTTTAGATGTGGTACTTCAAGACATGGTTTAGTGGGCATGGTGGCATCAGGTATACGGTTGGACTTGATGATCTTTGAGGTCTCTTCCAACCATAATGATTCTATGATTCTACTATATAGCTGTCTGACGTCTCTTTTATCTGTTGTTCTTCAACATTACCTGCCTCAGCCTCTCACACTAAAGGATTTCACTCTGAAAAATGTCCAATTTTGGTCATTTCATGTGTGACTTCTTAAGACTAGCAATCTAAAAATTATTGATGCTATGTTCTAATTTAAACTAATTGTGGCAGGTGACCTAATTTAACGACATTCAGAAATTACATTTTTTGTCTTGCCCCTCTCTCCAGTATGGTTTCAGGACTGTTTTCTTAACCTTTCCTAGTTTTTAAAAAAATCTAGGTTTGATGTGTTATGATTAAATGAAAACACTTTCTGTGTTCTCCCTGCCATTCTATGCTGCACAATGTAGACTAATGGAAAAGAAGTAACTTTTCTACAATAGATGTGATAAAATTTCTGTTACTTTGAGACTTTTGACTGAAACTTAGCAGCTGGAGCACTCTCTTGCAATTCTATTCCAACAAGGTTTTCATCTCAACCATGATTTTTCAGCCCTAATAAGGCCATAACTCGATCTCCTCACTCAAGTGTCTGTAAGACTTTTTGTGTGTGTCTGTGTCATTGCAGGTGTTCAAAGCACTTCACCCTTTTCAAGATCTCTGCCCATTTAATACATAGCAAATTATAAATGAGATAATACATTAAGGAAACCTTGAGAAATTTTGGGTGTTCTCACTAGCCTTTGTTTCACCCTGCAGGAGAAGCCTATATGAGAATGAACCGGCTGCCAGAAGCAGAGCGCTGGTACGTGGAGTCACTGCGATCCAAGAGCGACCACATCCCAGCCCATCTCACCTATGGAAAACTTCTGGCTCTGACGGTGAGTTAATCAATAGCTCCTAGGAGCTGGTCCCAGGCCCTTCGAGTAGGTGAGGTAAAGGGATGGGAAGACTTTGGCCTGAAAATTGTTTATTGCCCTATTTATCATGCTATTTCAAGTCATGCCTTGTAATTAAGGATTTTGACAGCATCGTTTTTTTGTGAAACATTGCATTCATTCATGAAATACCACCACCTCTGTGCCAGAAGAAAACACTTATAATAGCGTAGGAACTTTATAACACATAGTAAGGATTCCTCTGGTTGAAAAAGCCTTTATTATAAGTAGTTTGGATCACAAGTAATGATACTAATACAAAAAGATATTCAGTGTTTGACCCAGGGTTGTTGTAGCAGCCTAGAGCAGAGCTAGAGGTGTCACCTATACTTCGTGAATTACATGTCTCATGCTTTGAATTTACACTTCGTTAGGAGTATCTCTTTGAGCATGTGAAAAGAACTACTCAACTTACAAGAGCTAGTTCTAAAAAAAAAAAAACTGAAGTGTTGGACCTTTTCGTTTCTTCAAAATTTACTTTGCCTTTTGAGTATAGATGAGCTTGTAGCTCCAGCGAAACTAGCTCCATATGATAGTTATAGCAAAGCACCAGTCCCTCCTTAGTTTTCACACATTTTGAAGATGAAAATGGATTTCTGTTTTAATCACTAGAATAATTCTGTTTTAAAACTGCCTCTCACTTGTTTTCCATTTCTCGTTCCCATTTTTCTGACCATATCCTCTTTTTTATTTCTCTTCTACATTTGCTTTCATTGTTCACCCCAGTGGTTTCATATGTCCTTTGTGTGCTTTTGTATGGCTCTTCAATCCTTGTGCATCAGTCTGAATGTCTTCCTCAACTTTTCACCTAGCTGTAAGCTTTTACTCGGACCTTGCTTATGTGCTGTCCAGTCTTCAAGCAAAAAAAGTCCTTGGACACAGGGTACAGATCCAGTGAAGAAAAATAGCTCAAAATTTCAGCAGATCCTCTGCTGCTAAAAATATCTGAATTTGGAAAAGGGGGAGAAATTAGAACAGAAGTTTTTTATATGAGTAACAAGTGACAACATAGTCAAAAAGAATTAAAAATTGTTGGGTGTTATCATGTAATGTCAAATACAGAGTTTGATTAAAAATTATCTCGATAGGTCTTTTTAGCTTGTAATGGAAGTCAAGATGGTAGTGTTATATCCCTACTGCCTGTCAGTTCCAGGCCCTGGAAAGGCAGTTTTTTGCTACAATTTCCAGTTACAGTTAAAATTTCTTGGGTATTGACAAATACATGCACTCACTGATTACCTTCCTCTGGGATGGAACTGGAACTAGGTTATACAGTAAAATTTCCTAATTTACCTTGCTTTTCTGGCAGATATCTTCATATCTTGCACCTAAGAATAATAGGAGAAAGTCAGTGTTATTGGTTTCTTATTAGCAGATCTTTGACACAAAAGTTCCGATTTATTAGAATTGCTGTGGGGAAAGAAAGAATTTTCTCAATTAAAATCCAAATCTTGTTTGTTTGTTTGTTTTTCCCCCTTCTTTTCTATTCCACACACATCCCTCCACCCCAATACTCCTCTGGTTAATTTTGCACATTTTCTGAACTGCTGAATATATGAAATATGAGGTCTGCTAGGGAAAGTCTTGCAGTTGTTCTGGGAAACAAGGTCTCACAGTTTTCTTCAAAATAACAAAATCCTCAACTCCCATAACACTGTACAAACATTGTGAGCTGATAAAAAGCCAATAATTTTGTCCCCTCATTATGAAAGTTCAGGTATAGAATTAAACATCACTGGCATAACCCCAGTTTGGGAAGGAAGTGATGAAAAATGTACATGAATCCTTATAGCAGAATTGAACTTTTTACTTTTGTCCAGGGATATAAATGCAAGATACATGTGGAGTGGATTGTGCCTTGAGGATCTGAACTATGTTTGTGGAAGAATATGTCTCATTAGCAAAAAGGACAGGAGCTGTATACAACTTTGAACATGGAATACTGCACCGTGATAAGCAATAAAGTACTCTGCTTATCCTTTCTCAATGCAGAGTTGCTTACCTATACTTGCTGTGTGTCATAATTGTAGTCTAGTCTCATCAGGTTTGGTTTTTATCATCTATTGACACTTTTTTCTTTCATTACTCTTGCTACTTCTTATATTCATGGCAATATGTATAGATAGGGTTCATGTCCATTCTATTAACAACAGCATAAGCTGAAAAGATGGTGCTGATGTCCTGTTGGCTTGTGATGACATAGGACTTCATAAACACATAACAAGGCAACATGTTGATGACAGAGTAATTAGAGATGGCAGAAAATTTTTCAGGTGGTTATTTCATTAATGAAAAAAAGTTCGTTTATCTTTGATCTATTGAAATTTGGCACTTATTTAATTTAATTCCTTCAGCTACAACGTCTGAAAAGACATTCAACAGGAAAATGGATGATGAAGAGATTTGGCAGTAGAATATGGATTTTTGTCTCCATGTTGGTCAGTTATCCTTAATCAGTTTTGCAGCCTACCATCTGCTCAGTGATTCACATTGAATGAATTTTGTCTGGTTTCTAGTATACTGAACTGTACTGGTACTAGTTCCCATCACATGTATTTGATTGCTGTAACTGACATGCTTCCTGGAAGTCTGCATAGACTTCCTTGGGATTCCATAGGATTTGAGCTGCTCCTTTTGGCATAGTTGTTTCAGCCCATAGCTAGCTTGAGGTACCACTTTGATTTATTCTTCTGTTAAACTTTGCTACCTAGGCTCATCATCATTTTCTCACAGCCTGTCTATTTAGGAGAGAGAAAAACCTAGTTTTCAGATGTTAGAGGAGAGACATTTAGAGGCTTCTTTCCCCTCGTCTGTTGGAACCAAAGCTTCAGACTTTTTGCAATTCCGTTTCTGAATATAAGTACTGAGACAAAACTGTTGATAACGCGTGTCTGTGTCTCTTCCAGGAGAGAAATGTGAGATGGTTGATGAAGTGAAGGGTGGAAGTGGGTGCTAATATACATAGAAAATTTTTTTCTGTCCGTGAAATTGGGAGGTGAGGGAGGAAAGGAGGAAGGTTTCAGACAAGTTCCTAAGTTCCAGCCAAAGGGAGCTCTAGTATAAAACCCCACAACAGTAAAGTCAAACCTGTAAAGTTCACAAATTCAGCTATGTTTTACCTCCTGACTTAAATTCCAATGAAGTGGCTTAATTTTAACCCCAGCTTTTCTTCCTCCTCAAGTCTGTTGCCAGTATTAATACTTACTAAAAGCAGCATGACATAGAATCACAGAATCATTTAGCTTGGAAAAGACCTTTAAGATCATCCAGTCCAACCACAAACCTAGCACTGCCAAGTCCACCACTAAACCGTGTCCCTAATTGCCACATCTACATGTCTTTTGAATACCTTTGAGGGTGTTGATAAGTAGTTTGTTTGTTTACTTCTAGAAATGTTTTAATGAACAGTTTAAAATGTATATATTCCAGAACAGAATTCCTGAGAAAGCGTTTTCATTTTTCTGAGTTTAGAAGCATGTGAAAATTGAGAGTATAGAGTGTTACAAGCCCAGTCACTGAAAGGTGATTAGACAAACCTGAAGAAATAATATCCTCTTCTCCGAAGCCTACAAAAATTTTTGCATGTGTGTATCTGGGAATATGGAAAGATGCAAAACCAAGTAACCCAATAAAGTAAAAAGTGAAATAAAAATCCAGATAAAGCAAGCTTCCCTTCCCTACCCCTGAAAACCTGCTGGTGACACACTGTTATCCATCAATAATAATTCTAAATACTAAACATTTGCACAAAATTATTCTCAGTAAACTTTATTTCCTGAATAACTTTAAAGATACATTCATAAAATTCAGAATATGCTGTTCAGCTTATAATAACTGTCATTTACGTTGACACAAAACAAACCAAACAAAGAAAAACCAAACCAAAAATAGCTGTTCATTTTTCATTAATTCTTGGACTACATAAGTGGTATAGTTCTAATTTGCATACAATAAGACCTTTGGAGTAAAAAATTTACTTAGTACTAAAACAATTCTGTCTGGTTTTATTTTGATGCAAATATTTGTCTCGAGGCTTGTTAGCTCTTTTGGGATACAAGAAATGCCAGGTGGACTTGGGCATACTGCTGTATATGCAGAAAAACCCAGACCAACTTAAGAGCTCCAAAGGAATAGCTAATGAATTTACAGTCGTCTTACCTAGTATCGTAAGTCACAAGTATTTCATAACCCCTATATTGGATAATGTTATACATTCATATCTAAAAATTACAGCTCACTGAGCTACAATTTTCCTGAAAATATATTAGAACAACATAATGTAGTTATTGAAAAGCATGATTAGTAGCTCAGCTAGTAGAGTAATTGGAAAATAGCCAGTTGTCTAATGCTTAAGTTTGTGCTTTTATTTTTTTTAATTATTTATTTTTCAGAAACAACATGTAGCTGTTTAGGACTGCAGTGCTTTAGCATTATGTGCTTTTCATATCTTTAACTTGTTAAACTGCATAAATTACTTGAGAAATTTATTTGTCAATGTGACATGCTAGTTGACCTAGCCAATCTCCTGGTAACACAGGAGTTTGGTACCACAGCATATGAGCCTCATCATTTATTTCTATATCACAAGAAAAAGCATAATTTTTGTAAATGGCTGTAAAATTGCAAGGCTCCCAGTTCTAAAATAAAAATGAGTCTGTCAAAAATGACAGTGCCAGGTGAGGCCTTGAGCATGTGCTGTAATTCATTTTCCATTTTATGAGCAGACCTTCTAGAAGAGAGGTTGGCTATCATGCTAAAAAAAAAAAATCATTTGTAAGTAAAGCTTTTAAATTTTTTTTTCTCCTCTTACTTTAGTCTTCTTAAATAGAAGAAAGACTAAGAAACCCTTCCTCCTAATGGCTGGCCTCTCTGCCATCAGGCAATGGATGATTGTTATAATAGCATGCTAGTCTGAGCAGCTTTATTTCAATTATAAATAAATC